AAGGGAGAGGAGACCGTGGAAAAATGCTGGCCGCGCAGGTACTACACTCGCGATTACGGCGCTCGGCAGACCGAGACCCAATCATTTCGCGCGACCGACGATGCTCTCGGAGGGGAAACCTTGAACTTTGCGTTTCGTCGAAGACGAATCGAATTTTCGCGTGCGACCGTGCAAACTTTTTTGTGACGCTCGCCGCCGTCTCATGCCGTCGTATCGGCCTATAGGGAACACACTTCCCCGAAAGCGTATTCAGCGCTGGCATAAGTACGGAATTAATTTCCCGTTACAAACATGAAAAGTGGGCCCGAATCGTCCGTGATTTCGCCGAAAGATGAAGAGATATTTTTGCGGGCGCGTGTAATATCAAAGCGCTAATCTATATAGCCTCGTCCGCGTTGCATCGGTTTCGGTCCCCGCTTTAGAAAGGCCGCTGTTCGCGGCAACGAAAGTTAAACGTTAACGAGCGAGATGGAACGCCCGTGGAAAGAAAGACGCGCGAGGGGGAGGGACGGGGAGCAAACTCTCGGAGATTGCGGGCGGCGCACATCTCCGTTGTCTTCCACAGATCCCGTGCACGTGTCCCGATAACGAAACCTGCCCATAATTACTTTGCTTAACTGGGCATGCACCTCGCGAAATTACAATTACAAATCGGTGGCGAAGCTAGCGAAGCTGCATCGCACCTCCTCATCAATTATTTATGAGGCTAACCCGTTGCCGTTCTCGGCGCGCCGGTCCTCCTTGCTCCGAATCCACGTTTTATCCGATTTATCCCTGCGCGCGAGCCACACTTTCCGTGCAACACGTATACGCGTCTATTTCTCTCGCGCGTGTCCGTGACGTGCCGAGAGCTGCGTGCATCGCGCACGTGAAACGCACGTCTGTCATACGTGATATTGGACATTTTAGAATCGAAAATCGAATTTTTTTTTCTACGTTTAATACTCTCTTACGACTGCGACGAATATACATTTTTCTTTAATAACTTGTTAACAAGCAAGCAATTTGTAATGCAAAAGATTACGGTCCGATAAAATTCTGGAACACACGTTACGGGTGCACATCATCCGCCTAAAAATGGCCTAGCACCTCAATTACTTGGCGCGGTCTAATTATCCCGAATAAAATGGTTTTCTAAAAATTATTTTCGACATAAGTAACGGTCGCTCTGAATCGTACAGTCTAAAATTAGAAGTTCTCAGATTTTTTTTTATATAGTTTAATAATTCCAACGAACTCCGTTTCTCCTCTCAGTCTATCGTGACGTTAAATAATAAGTAGGGGAGTCCGGCGCTCGTTAGCACAGTTTTCACAATTTAGATTATTCCTGTTTCTAAACAACTATTTATTATGATTAAACTATATTAATATGGTAGAATGAATCTTTCTCTACATTTTCATATCAGGAACGATTCTGTATATACTGTATATAGTTTTTTTGTAGTAAGTGAAATACGAACATGCTGCAATGTAACCAATTTACCCCGATAGCCGGGTAACACATATCACAGTGTAAGTTGCTTAAGCGATAAATTCCATATTAAATTAATGAAAACATAATAGAAGTAAAAACAGTAAAAACAGCCCCGGTCTCCCCTAATACTGATGGCGAGCGTAAGAATATTTAGGAAATTTGTATTAGCGAGAGCGAATGATATAATCGCGTATAATCACGACCGAGTTGGATATTTCAAGCGATAATGACGTAATACATTCATGTCCGCTCGAGATCTTTTTTTTTTCAACTCACACCTTCCTTCCACGCGGGAAGGTCAAGCGTGGGCACTGCAAAATACATGCGTCGTTCACTCGGCCGTTTGATCGTTTTTGCGCGTTAATAACAAGAATTACCCAAAGACAAACATTGCGTATAATGCATTCCATATTTGCTGTGCCTGCATTAATGTTTTTAAATTTTCTTGGAAATTGCGTGTGTACATCCATTTCCTCTTATGCTTTATACAAAATTCAGAGCAACGCGGCAATTTCCATGAAGTATGCAACGGCTTCAATCGCGCAAAATTATTCTGTAGCTCTTATGGTTAGGTAAATTTATTAGTGCGATTTGATGAATCAATTTAACTAGTAAAAAATAAATCTTTTTTATTCGAGATCGTTGATTTTTGCCGCGCAGTAACTCTGTCTCACAAATATACATTTTAACAACATTTTAATGTGCTGCAATAACTGTCAGATTTTTATATAGTTAATTTTAACGATTTATACGGAAAGTATAAATTTGCTGGAAAGTTTAAAAATGTTGCTTCATACAGATCTGAAAATACTTTTGTTGGACCATCAAAATAATTTTGTTGGAAATTAAAAAATGATGAGCATTAAGCTGTAACGTTTTTTAGCAACCGGTCTGAATTTCCAACAAATTTATTTTCAGATCTGTATTCAGCAAAATTTTTAGACCTTCCAGCAAAATCGGTTTTTTCCATATAATAAATTAATTTGAATTTGTGATCGAGTTATAATATGATATTCGTAAATTTGATAAGTAAAGTATAAAATATATTTCGTGATAATAATACACCATTTAATTCCCCGGCTCGATTCTTCGGTAGATTACATCTCAAGCTCATTGTTGTCTCGGATTCGGATTCAATTAACAACCTTTTTGCCGAAAAATAACTGTTCGCGATATTTCGAGCTAAGCGAGCATCAAGAAAAATTTTGTATGAAGGTTCTTCTAACATGTCTACGCAAAACGGATATACAGAAACGGATATACGATTCTGCATAAAAATGACATACCAAAATAGAAAAGGTGAAACTGGCTATTTAAAATATTTAAACTGAAGTGAAGACTTCCGCTTGATTCTCATTTCAAATGTAACACGTGAGTGCACGGAATAGTTTCACATTTGAAGTATTCCGTAATCATAATTAGTAATCAGCGTGAGAAAAAACAATAAATATAAAAAGAAAGAGTTGTTGAAAATTGAAGTAGACTGTCTATTCAAAAGCTTTATTCTCTGAAAGTTATTTTCACAGATGTGAGATGTCGTTTTTTTTTAGAAATAACTGTTGAATTATACACGCGTGGAAACTCATATTTGGAGTTACATTTAAATAATTTAAAATTTATTTTAGATTACCGCGTTACAGAGTCTGCGAAACAACACTATGTATAATTTGGCACATAATAATTGCAATATTGGAAAATTTGAAGAATACATCTTTAGACCATCTACATGTTTAATAAGTATAGAATCCACGGGAGAATGCTATACATAACATATATCGTGTAATGCAAAAAAAATTTGCAAAAATAGAATCATATAAAGAGGGAATACCATTCGTTTCTATGGACAACGGTGAAGATTCTTTTCTTAGACGTAGTTTCGTGAAAATAATGCGTCTGAGAAGTCTGCCGTATGACGCATTTCAATACGAAGGAAGTGACGTCACAGTATTATAGTTACGAGTCCCTCAATGGCCGGTCATGGTTGACAAACCAAGCGTCCACTTTTTTACTCCCTTCGAGTCTCGCCATTCTTCTCTCGCTTTAACGTAGGCCTCCGTCTTCTGCCCGGGGATTGCCCTTAGAGGTGTGTCTCGTGTGAGAGATTTAAAGCCGGCTATTAAAGTTCGTGTGCAGGGCGTTTTCCAATACGTGGGCACGATTTTGAAAGTAAACTCAGCGCGTAGAAATAAAAATAAAAAAGAAAGCTCGCATAAATATTTATTCTATTAGATTTAACTCACAAGTTACACATTTACTTTTGTGCTGTATTAATTATTCGCCCATTTTACGAGAAGTGTTCAAAGTAATGAGGTATTTAACAGTATCCTGTGAGTAAATTATTATCGAAATCTTGAAGGAATAGTTATTATTGAAATTTATTCAAGCGAACATAAATTTTATCAAAATATAAAAAATTATTATTTGACAACGAAATTATTCAGAGCCGCTTACATAATTTTCATATGTGTATGCATGTGTGTGTGTGTGTGTGTGCGCGCGCGCGCGCGCGTGGTGGATTTAATTGGTTTTTTTTTATATCCATAAAGCACTCTAGGAAACACATTGTAGAAAAGTAGGCGGAAAAGAGGTCTGCGTTTGATATTCGTCTAAATATCAGCTGTCCATCGGATTTGGATATATCGATACGTGGGTCGATCGTCGTGCGCGCGTTGCCTGAACAACATGCCATATATGCGTTCACTCGGTACAGAAACGATACGTGGGCCAAAAGAACAAGCGTCAAAGCTGCTTTAACCGGTCTACCTTAACCAGAATGTATTTCGATATTACAAGTGATATGAAGAGAGCGAGCGAGCGAGCGAGCGAGAGAGAGAGAGAGAGAGAGAGAGAGAGAGAGAGAGAGAGAGAGAGGAGGGGGAGCTACAGCGACACAACGGTCGATGTATAGTTTATTACATTCTCGTAAAAAAAGATTCTTAATCAAAAAAATACGTTTCTATTTTATGTAACATCTTCGCAAATGTACGCGATTTATTTTACGAGCATTATAATTTATATCTAACGTAATGAAGCGTCACATGCCGAGAATAAACTTTTATTAAGCTTCCATATCCAAAAAAGAAATTACTAATAATGTATTTAGTATTATCTATTTACTATTATTATATTACAATATATGATTATACGAATTATTCGTTTCATTGTCAGTATTGAACTTTTAGACAATGACAAATAATTTACAAAAAATAAGAAGTTACTTTTCTAATAATTTAATAAATAATCTAATTTTCATTTAGTAGCTCTCATCAATTTTTATTTCAAATTGATGTAATTAAAAAATTTATTTAAAAAAACCAAATCTCAATTCCATTGCTTTATATACACGACCAATTTATATCTTACTACTAATTATACACCCACGACAGTTATATACAAGCGACATTTAAATAATGCCACCTGCCGAAGGTTAACCACATTCGATCTTGAATAAACCTATTGTCTGTCATTGGAAGCTTATCCTTTTTAATGCCGTCATTTTTAAAGATGACAAAATTAATTATGTTACCTGCAGCATTTCGAGACGCGATGACGCCTGTGGTGCTGCCATATTTCGACTGTTTCTTATTGCTCGCGATGCTCTCGTTCTGGAAAAACAATAAAAACTCGTCATTTATGAAATAATGAAGAGACATTTATTGATATGAATTTGATACAAACACACAGAATATGTTGTAAAATAATTGACATTTAGAAATGACCAATTTAAAGTAAAAAAAAATAGAAATACCATTTGAACTATATTTAGCGATGCTAGCTAAATACGGCTCGAAGATTTTCTTTTTCTATTATTAAAAATGCAGCTATTACATTTAAATCTAGGTACTTAGAGACAAGAAAAAAGGAAAGGCAGTGTAAATGTAGAGTTACAGACGTAATATTAGTCTGAAATTAATAAATTCTCTCAATTTCGCATATTTCATTCACGGGATTACGAACTGCTTTTCCGGTTCGTTACGCTTGCGGAATATTCCGATAAAGGTAGTAGCGTCGGCGTCATAAACACTTAGACAAATGTTGCGTATCTGTAATTCGCCACTGGCAGAGTGGTAATATCGCGGGGTGAAAATAGATCGGTTCGGCATGTGCGCGCGGAAAACGATGCAGTTTCTCGAGTTCCAAATAATTACACTTAAAATAGAGTTGCATGTTGGTATCAGCTACAAAGCATAAGGGCCCCCATAAGTGGATCGTAATAATCAGTTGAATAATCAGCTAAATATGTTTCGCTCTGTATTCAGAAATTTATTACGTTACAGATATCCGATAACATATGTCGCATATTTCAACATACAATTTAGTATCCATGTCACGAAGTGTTGAGAACAGATATGTCCAAATTTGTCAGATCAGTATTAAAATAATACAAATAATACAAATTTTAAATTTAAATTTTATTATTATATTAAATAATAGTAGATTAATGTATCAATTTTGGATAAATGAAAAACGTAAAATTCTCTCAAGCCGTCGATCTCTCAAAGTCGCGCAAAGAGAAACGTCAAGCTGCCGTGTGAGTGCACGCGATTTCCAAGCGGGGATATATCAAAGGTTTATAATTGGCTTTCACTTTTTGCTTCCACCTGCCGCATTACCGTAGCGCAATTCGCGCGGCGCGGCGCTCGCAAAGGTAATTGTAAAGCCAAAACGAATTCGATCTCTGTATGGAGCCGGCGGGCGAACCCGATTCATTGTTGCTCTTTCGAGCGATTCACCGCCCCTCTGTAAAGATCGTGTGCCGGTGTGGGTGGTAGATCGAGCAGCGCGTGGGCGCGTTTGATATCACCGCACGTTTGATATCACGTTATCGCGCTCGATCGTTTTCATACGCTTCTCATCCGCGTTCGTGTACCAGTCGGCGTTTGAAATGGTTGAAAGACACATTTCCGATCGTTAACGCGCGAATCCATTGGCTGCGTAAGTAGGAGTCAACTTTTTTTTTAAAGAGACTTTTGAAGATGACGCCCATTTCTTTTTATTCTCGGCGGTGCAATGCAAATTCATTAAAATTCGACTGCGATTGCCGTCCTTGAAGAGGCGCTCTTCGGGAAATTATTGACACGTGACGGCTCGCTGCGGTAACAGTGTTTTTAGGCCAGCAGACATTGTGACTCACACGAACCCTGACGTAATCGCGAGACTTTTATGGTTAAGAACCGAGAGACGTAGCGGCTCGCGACTTATTTGCGATTATCTCCGAGCGTGAGGCACACATTTTGTATTAGCGCGTTGTGGTAGAAATAAATCTCGCCGCATTATAGACACTTAATTAGCTCTTTTAAAATCATCATGGCAAAGATATACAATTACGATATACAATTGCGGTACTCTAATAGGTTACATCCACGTTAATCAACACAAAATGCTGACATCGTCGTAAATTAACAATGAGAATTTTTTGTCTACTCTCTTTCAATTTTAGTTGTTTTTACCGTAAATTGTTTGTTCCTTGTCGGCGTACATAAGCGATGTTCACGGTTGAAGGATTAAATACATTACATGAAAACTGCGATACTGAAATAGAAGCCGTGTTCGATTGATTATGTTTCGATTTGTAAACTTCGTAAATATCGCGAATCCATTCGAGTTCGACGGCGTAATGCGCGCGAATAAGCGAACGAAAACGTCCGGTGACCCAGGTATTCCCGACTTTCGCGTGCTCTTATTGCGTGGATTATTTATAGTTTTACTAAAAACGTACTCTTCGCCACGATTACCATGGGCTATACTCTCTCCCCATACGCATGGTCACCACCAAGTACACGGCTCCATTTCTATAATTAAACCTGCATGCGCGCGCGGGTCATTTGCGATAAAGTTCGCGAATAACGCGCGTAAACATCCGCGCCGATGAATCGGCCGGGACAATACGGAGGCGGGCGAGGGACGAGCGCGAAAGAAAACGCGCGAAGCGATATTACCGCGCGCTGCGTAGAGTCGCGGCGACCTAACTTTAATTGGCGTCTCGAATAAGCAGCGCTTCATTGCTCCTCGAGGCAATTAGATACCGCCACTCCCCGACGGCGCAGTGCAGGATAAGAATCTCCGCAGGCAACTTAATAACGCGCGAACCACGACATCGGAATTTTCGACGTTATTTCACTATACACTCGCGCGTGCACGCACGAAGCGGCGCCGGCGAGCGCGTGTATAGTACATACACGCGCGTGCACAATTAGGCCCTCGCGCGCTCGCACATGGCGAGCACGTGCCCAATTCGAAGACGAGGGCGGAAGGAAAGGCGCGGGGTGGTTCGTGCATGCGGCTGAATGCATTTGATACGTCATATCGGAATAACAACGCGGCGCGGCGCAATGCGATGCAATTCGTGCCGAACTGGCCTGGCACGACGACGCGACGACGCACGATCGGCTCCTGCGGAGCGCCGATTCAATTATTCGCGCAAGTTTGTCAAGCTGGATTTATCGGGTCGTAATTTCGCTTCCTGCAAAATTTTGCGCATACACGGCGCCATACGTTTCGCAACACGTGTGCGACGAGGATTATTTCCTTTTTTCTCACCGTGAGATCCGTGGTAAACAATTCACCGTCCATATACGAAGCTTTCTATACGGCGGTATTACAACCCTATAGTGCGGCACTCGAATTAAAATACGCGTTACCCTCATTATCATAGAATTCATTTAGTTAAATTCGCAATTAATTAAATCGCCGCTAGATTACAATTCTGCATTGATTAAACGCCAAATTGGCATTGTACGGTACAAAACAATATTCGATATATAGCTCGCCGGAGTTAATTACTCCGCAATTAATGCCACCAGCGCGGCTTTTAATAGCGTCTTTTGAGATACGGACGATACAGGAGGGACACGGGGGGAAGGAGGGAGGAGAGGAGAAGTGATGTGCTAGAGCGATGATTTAACGGGCTGTGCGTAACGGTGCAATTAGGTGGCTGCATCTTAAGAAACGCGTCTGGCCATTCCGCGCGCGCTCTCACATTCCCCATTATCTCTCATCTCTCGGCAACGGCGAAGCCAGACGCGCGGCAGACGCGATTTCTTTCTCTCTCCCGAGTAATCGTCAGTAATTACGCCGCGGGCGTCTAACATGGTGGAGATTGGCGTAAAGCGGAGCACTAGAATTATTTGCGCCGCTTATCCACGAACACCTTCTAAATTGCGCAATTATATAGCGGAATTTAAGCGTGTGACAAGTCGCGCGATCCCATTCATTGAAATGAATTGTAACGGTGAGAGGGAATATCTCTCTCTCTCTCTCTCTCTCTCTCTCTCTCTTTCTTTCTTTCTTCAATGTAATCATCTTATTTTAATTAGTAGAATAATCGAATAAGTAAGTAATGTAAAATCAGTTGTAAGGCTGGTACATAGGGTGGGACCAATATCGTTAACATCATGATGTAATACATGCATTTTT